ACTACCCAGTCTTCTATTGAATTGCACTAGAATATTCTAATGTTTTGAAGGACTTGTTTTGATCTCTTGGTGTTTCATTCAGCATGGAAATGGCAATTTGCACCACAGTTTATAGGTGATTATTAATGAAAAAAGGAAAAGGTATTCCCCGGTTAACAAGGTTGTCAAGTTTTGTCTGACCATAGAGGACTGTGCTCATCTCCATTACTAAGCCGAAGAGCCAGCATTGTCAGAGACTACTCTGTAATCATGTGGTGAGTATGATTGCACAGAACGCTGTTTACCGTCCCGCCGAAGTGATACCTAGTTATCTACTTGCATTTGCATGCTTTCGAACTGCTAGGTTGGCAGAATCTGGGACTAGTGATGAAAGCTCACCCCATCATGTAGCACCCAGCCTCGGACTGCCAACCTGCTGATCTTGCAAGCAACAGAGTCAGCCTCTTAACCACTTGAGCCACTGCATCCCTTATTAATGAAAACCTGCCTTTAAATATCAGAACATACTATATTTGCTAGCACCAGTATGGTGTAGTGATTTGAGCATTGGATTGATACTCTGAAAATCAGGGTTCAATTCCTCACTTGGCCATAGAAACCCACTGGGTGACCTTGGGTGAATCACACACTCTCAGCTCCAGAAAGTCTTGATAGGGTTCACCCTTAGGGCCACCAGAAGTTGGAAACAACTTGAAGGCACACAACAACAACAAATTATTTTTGTTCCACAGCACCCAGGAAAAACTCTGATCACCTAGGATGTTTCAGTTTTCCTCTCCGACCTTTGCAATATTCCTGGTATCTCTGTGTAGAAGCATTCCACAGATCAAAGAAATCTAATGCTCAGGTTTTCCTGTTTTCTCCAGGGAGCACACAATTATTTAAAAAGCCACTGTATTTCGCCCTCGTTCCACTGAATGGGTGTTCCATTCTCAGAAGCCAATGAAACAATACCTTGATCACTCTAAAATGACCAATATCTCATTCAAAGACCTATAATGCTCATTACCATGCAAGTGTCCCCGAGGCCACAAGATACAGCAGATCTCCCCATCCTGGGGCAAACAGAGTACAAGGTCTGATTCTGGAATTCCTCTGTTAGCTGTCGATGAATACTGGGCAGATCTTACCTTCCCAACCCTGGAAAGGAAGTAGTCATTCCTTTTAATTTGCGGACTTGGAATCCGCGGTCTTGCTTTTTTCAATTGCAAGGTGAGAGGGATTAAAATGGTGCATGTGGGAGTGCGCACTCATTATAATCAATGGGCTTTGAATATATGCAAATTTCCATTTTTGCGGGGAGGGGACAGTCCGGAACAGATCCCCCCACAAAAATGAAGTGACAACTGTAGATCATTGGGCAATCCATAGGCAAACTGTGAGATGTTTGTCTCTGCCCTCACACTTTCCAGTCATGTGCTGGAAAGGAAAAGATTGAGGCCAGTTCTGGAGCTAGCGTAAATAATTTGCTTTCCATTATTTGCAATGGAAGACAAATGGCCACTGAAAAGAAAAAGACAAAGGGGGAGGTATGATTACACCTTCCTGTCTTCCACCTTGCCAGGTTCATGCTGGAAAAGCATCAGATATCTCAAAGATTCTAACATCAGAGCACACTGAGGGCCTTTTCACACTACACAATTATAGCACTACTGTTCCTCTTTAACTAGGAACATTCTATGGAATACAGGGCTTTATAGACTGAAGAGGCACTAGAGGTCTCTAGCAAAGAATTCTAGATACTCATCCTTAAGATACAAAACTTAGGATTCCACAACAGTTAAAGTGAAATCCTAGTGCTGTAACTGTGTATAGGTTGAACGCCTCTTATCCAAAATGCTTCGGATGAGAGATGTTCCACATTTCAGATTTTTAAAAAAAAATTATTTCAATTCATTTCATTTGGATTTTGGAATACCTGTACAGTTGTCCCTCCCTGTTTGCAGACTTGAGATCCACAGTCTCACTCTTCGTGAACAGCGAGTAGGGAGGGAACAAAATGGTACATGTGCTTCCGACGGGGCTGCGCGAATGGGACCCCAATATTGGCGATTTTTCAGATTTGTGGGGTAGTTGGAAGGGATGACTGTATTTGCATTCACATAATACACAAAACTCAATACAAGTAATGTAGTATGTACTATATTTTTTCAAAGCTGGACAAAGATGTGAGGCTGGAGAGAATCTGAGGATCTGTGAAATGGAATTCAAGAGTAGTGCTTAGCCTGCATCCATACCTTCTGCCATTTTACAGATCCTCACATCTCTCTCCAGCCTTGCACCTTGTTCATTTGCTACTTGTGTTATATGAGACATGAGATTGGAGAGAGGCTGAGAATCTGAGAGACAAACAAGTAAGACTGTCACAGCCAGTGCCACAAAGGCAGAAGAGGGTGGCTTGCAAGAAAACATTCAGTTTTGGAGGTTTCCAGATTTCAGATTTCCAGATTAGGAATGCTCAACCTGTAGTGTGAAAGGTCCCTAAAATAAAGATTAGGATTGTTCCATGCTCAAGCCTTGCTTGATTATATTTGAATAGAAAATAAATAGCCCTTACTTTATTCCCAGTTTTAAGGCATTCTGCCCTTTATTATCTCTCATCCAGAAATATTGCAGCTCTCTGTGATGTTCAGTTGTCAGCAGAGAAATGACCATCATTTTCTGATTATCAGAAATATTGATGTACAGGAGCTCTCATTCAGTCCTTTATATTTTGATTTTTCCTAAATGCTCTTTATGCTGAGAAACAAACTATTCTGAAAAGCTAGAACAGTTTTTTTTTGTATCAAAGCATACAGCAGGTTATCAGAATATCAAACTTCCCTTTTCCAGTAAACAAATTATTGAGTCAGTTATAACTACATGGAAAATCTGTGTCAGGTGTTTAGGAAACCCTCCAAAATAACATGAAAGGTGGTAGTGGTGGTGTTTTTAAGAGGAATCGGAGGAGGAAATCCACCCTGTCTTCTTAGAAAGGAAACCTCCAATCTTTCTACTATAGCCATTCTGATACTTTATAACTTTAGATGCATAGGAATTTATAACACATTTTCACCAAACCAGCAAAAGAGAGACTTTTGCAATATCCTTGAAATATTCACATTGTAAATCTACCAGTATGAAACAGTTAAAAATATTTTGGAATTAGCACATAAACAAATTGATGCTTACACTGAAAGAAAAACATATACAAATATAAAAATGTAAACATTAATTTAGTCATTCTTTATGAGAATTTTCTGGTATTAGAGCACAAAATGGCACTCACATCATACTGACACTGATTCTCCATTCATCAAACAGAAATAGATTCTCTGTTGCATCATTGTCATAGGTCAAATTGTCTTGATTTTATGATGAATATAATGGTCAGATTACACTCAAGCTTTTAATATCGAAAGTCAACACTTCTAAGTATGTGGTTACTCCTGTAGCTGTATAACAAAACATAATAAAACTGAACTGAAAGGGAGAACCAGCTTCTCATCCCCATAAACCTGTCCCACATTTTGAGAATAGTGGGCCTCCTAAGTCATGCAGGTTATAGAACATTTTGATTTATTTATTAAAATATTTATATCCCATCTTCTATCCAAATATCTCAGGGCAGCATATACTAAAATAAATTTCAACACTTTAAAATGTAAAATGGCATATGATAATGTGCAGTCTTAAATCATATTAATCTTCATTAAAAACAATTAAATTAAAACATCGAGAACCATGTCCATGTACAAATGAGATGAAATCATTAGACCAGTGCTGTCACTAGAAAGGTATAACATCCAGTGGAGCCCTCCTCCTGCTGCAGAACCCACAGTGTTGCTATTGGTACCCATCCCTTCTTCTTTGCTGCCTTGGCTCTCTCCCAGAGGCAGCCGATGCAGAAGAAGAGGAGGAAAGATAAGCATACCTTTCTTGGCTTTGCCTCCACCTGGCTTCCTCATGAGGAAGCCATGCAAAGGTGAAGGAGGTGCAAGCCCAGCCCTCTTAGCTTCATCTCCACATGGTTTCCTCGTGAGGAAGGAGCCACACAGAGGTGAAGGGGGGGTGAGACTGGCCCTCCTGGCTTTGCCTCCACCCAGCTCCCTCCTGACAAGAAAGCCGCATGAAGGCGAAGCAGAGGCAGGCATGGACCTCTTGGCTCCACCTCAGCATGGCTTCCTCATGAGAAAGGAGCCATGTGGAGGGAGCCCTGGTGGCACAGTGGTTAAATGCCAGTACTGCAGCCACTCACAGCCACAAGGTTGTGAGTTTGATCCCAGGCAGGGCTCCAGAGTCCACTCAGCCCTCCATCCTTTCATAGGTCAGTAAAATGAGTACCCAATTTGTTGGGGGCAATTGGCTTACCCATTGTAAACCACTTAGGGAGTGAGTGCTAGTTCACTGATGAGTGGTATAGAAATGTACTTGCTATTGCTATGACTATGTGGAAGAGGGACAAGCCTCCCTTCTTTCCCTCACTTACCTGGCTGCCCCCCCTCTCCCCACAGCCCTGGGCAAGCGGCTAGCTAAGTTAGGAATTAGGGGAGACTGCCATCCCCTGGCAGCACCCCCAAGCTTGGGGCCACCACTGCATTAGACCCCAAAGGTTTTTACAGCCATGTTTTCACTTAGCACCAAAATGAAGCTAAGCTCAGTGTCAACCATGGTGCCACCACAGAGAAAGATCTTATGCTTTTACACAATGTATTGTCCTCACTGGTAGAACACAAAGATAGAGTCTGGTCCAAAACACACTGCAGAAATAATACAGTTTGAGATTGCTTCAACTGCCCTGGCTCAGTGCTAGGGAATGCTGGGAACTGTAGTTTATTGTGGCACCAGAACTCTTTGACAGAGAAGACTAAATGTCTCTCAAAGCTACAGTTCCCAGAATTCCCTAGCATTGAGCCAGGGCAGTTAAAGCAGTCTTAAACTGGATTATTTCTGCAGTGTATTTTGTACCTCTTTCAGTAGATCTGAATCTTTCGAAAGGTGTATATAGCTAGGGGTAGACTGCTAGCATGGCATAGTGGTTTGAATGTTAGACTATGATTCTAGAGGCCAGGGTTTGATTCCCTACTGAGCTATGAAACCCATTGGGTAACCTTGAGCAAGTCACATGCTCTCAGCCTTGGGGGAAGACAATGACAAACCTCCTCTGAATAAATCCTGCCAAGAAAACTCCATGATAAGTTTGCCTTACGCTTGCCATAAGTTGCAAATGACTTGAAGGCACACAGCAACAACAAATATAGGTAGAGGTACTCCTTTAAATATCAAGGGTCCAAGTCAGTTAGGACTTTGAATGTTATTACCAGCACCTTGAATATGAATTAGAAGTAATTCCCGTAAAGTCGAGTTAGAAGCTTTCTACTTTATGTTCCAGGCAGCAGTCTAGCGGTTGCATTTTGCAGTGGCTGCAGGTTCTGAATTGTCTTCAATCACAGCCCCACATAAAATGTATTTCAGTAGTCACAGGAAGGTTCAGTACATGAACTGATGTGGTTATGTCATCCTGTCCAGAAAAAGCAACATCTGGCAGACCAGTTGAAGCTGGCCTCAGGCATGCTGAGCCACAGAGTCTACCTGGGCCTCCAGTGGCAGACATGGTAGTTCAGTAGCAGAGACTGGACTTTATTCCAGTCCAGTCCTAAACTACACATCTACTCTTTCAGGAAAAGTGCAGGGCAGGTTGCTTACCCCATCTCCTATACTTGGGGACCATGATTCTACACATCCTCCACCTGATCAGTATTTAGATTCAGTTACTGGACTTTGTGCCTAATTGGGGTCCCCCCCAGAGTCATTTATATTTAAAGGACACACCAGTCAGCAAGATGGACAAGGCATTTTATTTCCTTTCTCATGCAAGGAGAACAAAAATAAGAAACTCCAGACTCTGCTGAGAAACAACTAAATTCAATGACACCTACTGACTAGGCTGTGCAATGATAAAGAACAAATTTCAATATGTAATATACAACTATGCACTAGACTACAGATGAAGCAGTCTTGTTGCAATAAAATTCCTAGTTAAACATCACTGTAACAAGCCTTTTCAGTTTTCTATTTAAATAAGCTCACAAAAGACAGTGAAGTGCTGCTAATATTTCAAAAACAACTTGTATGATAAGATTCAGTGTCCTCTCAAATTATAATCATATTAACTCATATATTAAAGGTCTTTAAATGGCAAAAAAGAAGCACTCTGCTTTTTCAAAATAATGAAGAGTTGCAATATAACAGAAATGTAGGCATGGGAAGAAAAAAGGGACAGAAGGAGGAAGATACAGTCCACAGGTCATTTATTGGCCTGCTTTTGTAATATATGAATAAACCCAAGCGCAGTCTGTGAAATTTTAGACAGGATGCATTTAAATAATTCAGTAGACAAAAAAAAATGATAAGTTTGACCAATCTGTTTAATTTCCATTATACTATTGTTCACTTTAGGCTGAATATGACTTCATATTTATGTAACACTTTATAATGGTCAGAGCATACAAGCATTATCACTGTAACAATGAGTATCACTGTGCTACGCAGAGTAGGCCAATTTTTGTTGTTCTGTACCTTCAAGTCACTTCTAATTTAATGAAACCCGACCCTAAGGTATTCTTGGAAAGATTTATTTAGAGGAGGCTCAGCATTGCCTTCCTCTGCGAATGAGAAAGCCTGACTTGCCCAAGGTTAACCAGTGGATTTCCATGACAGATTGAGGATTTGAATCCTAGCCTCCAGAGTCATGATTTCAATGGCTGAGCAGGGACCCAAACCTTGATATTTGAGAGTCCTAGTCCAACTCTCAAACCACCACATCACACTGGGTTTTAATATCCTCTTATTCTAAGTATTGCGGAACAGGAGGCAGGACTGAGACACACTTACATAAGAGTGCCTAATGAATTTTAGGTAGAAGTCATATTCATTAGTGACATCTGACTTCAAAGCTGAAACTTACAGCTTTTTCCAACCATGCATGCCATTATGTCCAAGAATAAATAACGGTTATTTTTTGCTCAAGGCAGGGAGTTCTCATTCCCAAAGGTATCACACTTGATTCAGTCCCAGGGTGCTCACCACAGCTTTATGGCACGAAGCAGAGGCTCAAGGTGCTGGGGCCGATAATATAAAGTCAGCAAAGAGCTATTTCTGGAGTCTCAGTGACACTGACGGTCATAGAGACCATCCAACCACAGCAGGTTCAAAGGACTACAGCATGAACCTGCTTACAGAGCTGGGTTTCCTGTCACTCCCTTGCCATAACAGAGTAAGACAGAATGAAAAGGAGAAGAGAGGAACCAACCAGGCTGAAGTGTTGTGGCTTAGAGCATTTCCTGTTCTTTAGTGAAGAAAAAGAGGAAAAAAATGCAGAGCAGCAAAGCGAAGCCGTCCGAATGAAGATGACAGTTGCAGCATGTTAGTACTTGATAACTAAACAGGCATCTTCTCAGCAGCAGCAGAGCTGGGCCACTCAGATCTTGATGAACTCACTCCTGGCCTGCCACAGAAAAGCAAAGGTAAGAACCTCCATTGTTAGTAGCATTTTAATTCTCGGTGATCAAAAAGGAAACACAGCCTTAAAAATGAACCTTTTCTCTGAACCACTGCTAGCACCATTGACAATGTGAAGTCGGAACATGAACAGGCATTATTTCCACTGCTTAAACTGGGCAGAATAGGGAAAAGTAATGGTGTGTGCATTCATCACAGACAAACAGTTTGGCCCCAAAGTGATAATAAGACCTCATCTCCTTGCACAGTTTAATGCACTAAATAAACTGAGCAAATATTTTTTTTCCTTTTTGTTGCTTGAAATGAGTTTTAAGCTAAGGTTTTTGTTTTTGTTTTCCAACCAGCTGCTTAATACAGAAACTCTGAATGCTATGGTACCAAGACAAAGTTGGTGTGCTGTCTATGGCAAAACAGCCTATGGATTTATTTATTTTTAATGGTAAACAAGTAATTTAGATGCCAAGGATAGTGGGAAAAGAAATTATAACCATTCATGTCTAAGCATAGTTGAGTATTTAAAATCTGGTTGTTCTTTTATTATAAAACCATACACAATTTTTTTCAACATTACAAACCAAACAAAACCTTCAAACAAATATGAGAATGAAACTTTGGAGTCAGCAATATTAGTGAGATACATAAAAACTACATAGTTATGGTGTAGTTGGTTGTTTGTTTGAGGGCAACAAAATACTAAATGACACACAACTTGATTGGTTTGTTCAAATAATTGCAACTGGCAGTTTTTCATGATCCCTGCCATCATTCTTATTTAATTTTGGCATTAGGTTTTAATTATTGTTTGATGTTTTAAATGATTTGATTTAATACTGTTTTAAGGGGGGGTGGGGGGTGTCCTTTGTATTATATGTTTTATTGGACTGTACTTTTAAACTTGTAAGCCGCCCGGATTGGTGTACCATTGGGCGGGATATAAATAAATGTTTTTATTATTATTATTATTATTCTGCAGTAATAATAATAATAAGAGTTTTAAGGTAAAAAATGGAGGAGGAAAAAGGTGCTATACAAGGGGTGAAGAAATGAATAAAAAAAAAGGTGTCAGTTAGATAACATGTCTCACTTAGTAGCATGTACTCGCCAGAACATCTCAGATGGAAATATTTAAGTGGTATATCTGCACTAACATTAGTTATAGAAAATATTGGAAAATCCACTGGAAAATCTAATAAATAAAACATCAAAGACAATCTTGATGCAGAAAAGCAAGGAATTCAAAACTGAACAATGTCTACACTCTTTGGACAACACAGAATTTTAATTCTGTGCTGCTACCTGAAATTGTAAATACATTTGTCCCTCCCTTTTCATGGACTTGGAATCCGTGATATCGCTCTTCGCGGGAGACAAGCGACTATAAACAAAATGGCCACATGTGCCACAGGCACATACACCATTATTTCCTATGGGACTCGAATATGTGCAAGTCACCGTTTTCGTGTGGAAGCGGAACGGATCCCCTATGAATTTCTGCAAAGTTAGGGCCTTTGCAGACTGCCAGAAATAGTGCAAATTGAGTCCACTTTAACTGCCCTGGCTCAGGAATCATGGGAACTGTAGTTTATTGTGGCACCAGAGCTCTCTGACAGAGAAGGCTCAATGTCTCAGAAAAAAATACAATTCCCATGATTCCCTAGCACTGAGACAGGGCAGTTAAAGTGGACTCAATTTGCATTATTTCTAGCAGTTTGCAAAGGCCCTTAGAGTGTTGGGCCATGACTCTGGAGACCAAGGTTCAAATCCATTTGGTCATGGAAACCTACCAGTTGACTTTGTCAACTCCCCTCTGAACAAAATCTGCCAAGTGACAGGTATACCTTAGGACAGGGTCTCCAAAAGTCAGAAACCACTTGAAGGCACACGACAACAACAACAAAATGAGATATTAATGCTTAAGAAAAAAAAATCTATGTAATTAGTTAAGTCAAACATAAATTGCATATATCACTATTTTATCTGAATGTTTGTGAACCTTAAATCTGGTGGCAATTGATCAACTATTGATACTATTAATAAATTGACTGTTAATCAATTAAATATATTTATTGACAATTACCTAACATTAATTAACCGAACTGTAACTGTTTCTCCATTAATGATGACCAATTAACAAATAACTAAAATTAACTAATAAAATTAACTATTTATGTAACTTCTCTTGCAACCTCTACTAACTGGCTTCTTCATACCATACCATAACAATTTACAGATAAGCTGGCCACTGAAGGCTACAATTGTTAAACTTACTAATTGTCACTTCTGGGTATTGCATTAACTTAACATTATGCTGAATGGAGTTTAGGTACAAAATAGTGCCATAATTCTACCAGTTTTTACCAAGTCATCTGCAAGATTAAGAACATTGTTGGTATGGAAAGGATGAACAAGATATGAATGAGAGAAAGAAAGGATGAATGTGATGCTTGAGTTTGGGATCAAAAAGCTGTACTGAATAAAAGAAATTTTAAAAACAGATCAAATCATTTGTATACAGTGGAATATATTTGTATGACTGGATGCTGCCTTCCCACAACAATGACAGTACTAAACAGGA